CAGTCCTGAGGTTCTGATGTATTTCCCCTCACCCCACCCCTCACCTCAGGGGTAGTTGCTAGCATCGCCTCTTGCCGGGGGCTGCCTCTCCCACCTCCAGCTCTCGGAGAATCAAAGAGACAGGAGAAATCCATGGGAAGGGAGTAGGTGTGGGAGGTCGTGGCCCAGAGTAGGCTCAGAGATAACCAGACCAATGGAGAGCAGGTTCTCCAGCGGAAGCCCCAGTATTCTGGGGTTCCTGGAAATCAGAGGACCCTTCGTACATCTATCACCCCCCTGTGGTCTCACAGTGCCACTCACTCCTCTTAGCCTGGCAGTTGCAAAGGTCTGTCCCCATGGCTGACTTCCCCTCTAGACTGTGAGTGCCCAGAGGGCAGGTAACCAGCACTGTTCAGTGTGGAATCCTGGCATCCTGCATGGGGCCAGCCCCGGGCTGGCGGGCTAGGCGACGGCTGGACAGATGGCTAGAGAGACCATGACTTACCAGGTCCCCCTTAACAACGTGAAGAGGAGTTACCAGGGATCATGTCTCCTGGTACCTCCCCACACCTACCCAGTATTCAGGGGATGAGGACTGTGGGAAGGGGGAAGCCAGGTACAGGGGGTCCCTATCCCTCTGGGCAGCCTGACTCTGGCAGTGGGTATCTGGCTGTGTGGTCTTTTCTCCTCACACCCCACCTGCTCTCTCCACATGGTGGGTGGGGAAGGGAAGAGGGTGGACTTGTACCACAGGGACCACTGCGCAGAAGCAGGGCCTGCAGAGGCCATGTTAGAAGGGTGCAGGGGGTGGGACAGTGTCTTCGGGTCACAGGACTGGACTTCCCCACCCAACACTGCCGTCCGGCACTGCTGCCCTCTCGCCCCTCCCACTTTCTGATGATGGAACAGCCCATCACAGCGTCACCTAAGCTAGAGTCATACTTGGCCCCTAATCCCACCAGTCACCAAATCCTGATGGTTCTTCTACAGAAGGCCCCAGAATCTGTTTCCTCCATCCCACCCCTTTCCTTCTCATGTACCCCCAAGTCTTACCCTTCTCCCTCGCCAGTGACTTCTAAAACACTAACCACTCCTGCTAAAAATGGTTTAGTGACACCTGTCACCTCCAGGTCAAAGGCCAAACGCCTAACCTGCCTTCGAGGCCCTCACAGGCAGCCCCTGCTGACCTCCCACCACCCCCGCCATGTGCCCAGCACTGCCTGCTGCTCCTGGAAATCCAAGGGCCTCGGGCCCCGGTGCATTTGCTCTAGCTGTCTCCTAGCCTGGGATTCCCTTTCCATCTCCAAGATCCAACTTCAATGTCATTTCTCTGAAGCTTTCCATGACTCTTGTCAATTCACCTCTCCCTCCTCTGACTTCTCAAAGCACCCCACACCCACCACTATGAAGCCTGTTCTTATCTTGGACAAACTCGTCTGCATGTGTAGTTACTTAAAGAGTGCTTTCCTGGGCTGGCCGAGTGGCGTGTTGGTTAAGAGCTGGCTTGGGACGCCAGAGGGCCCCGGTTCGGATCCCACATATGAGGGGCCAGTGACACTGCCCTCTACAGCTAAGATGCTGAACAACTGCTCAACCTGGAGCTGGGCTGCCAGTGAGTTGCCGGCAAGGCGTAGGCTGCAGCCCCTGCTGCAGTGGGTTGCCATGGGCTGCCGTGTGTAGCCAGCGGCCAGCGTGAGTGGCCAGCGGCTATCCAGAAGCCGGCAACTGACCTGCCTCACCCAGGAAGAGTGCAATGATGGTGCCAACTTGGGCCAGTGAAGCAATGTCCTCCACAACTAGACTGAAGAACAAAAAAAGGACAGCAACTTGTCTGTTCCCCTTCCCCCAATTCCCCAGCGCTGTTCTCATCCCCCAATTCCCCAATACAAATCTTAAAAAAAAAAAAAGAGTGCTTTCCTGACAGGCGGGCATGCCGTCTTTAAAAATATGGATCCGCAGACAAATACTGTAAGTTCTCACTTACAAGTATGTGCAGAATCTAAAAAAACCTCAACTCGTACATGTAGAGTAGAATGGTGGTTGCCAGGGGCTAATAAGTGAGGGACAGGCAGAGATATTGGTCAGAGGGTACAAACTTCCAGCTATAAGACAAATAAGATCTGTGGATCTAACACCCAGCATGGTGACATACTAACAATACTGTATTATATATTTGAAAGTTAAGAGAGTCAATCTTAACTGTGATCACCACACATACACACAAAATCATAATTATGTGAGGAGTGGAGGTGTTAACTAACTTTATTGTGGAAATCATTTCGCAATATATGCATATCTAATCATGACATTTGTACATCTTACATATGTTGTATGTCAATAATACCTCAATAAAGCTGGGGGGAAAATAAAATGACAAATCCCCAAAACAGAAGCTTGCACTTAGTGCGTTGTCTATGAGTATTTGATGAATTAGTGACTTAGAACTCAGACACACACACACACATTCCCGAAACATCCATACAGCCAGATACACTCTTACTCAGAGTCAAACCCTTGGGATGTCCAGCCAGCCCCAAGTGCTCAGGTGGAAGAGCTGGTACCAGCTATCAGAGCATTCCCTGCTTTGCTTATGCAGTGACCTTGGCCTGCAGTGTCCCTTCTCCCCTAACCCCTGTTCAAAGCTCAGCACATACTCCTTCCTTCAGGAGGCCTTTCCTGGCGCCCTCAGGTGCCCTTCCTCCTTTGTATTCCTGGGGATAAGTCCCACAAAGCACAACACTCATCTGCTCTTTTCACGTCTGTCTCAGTCCAACAGACAGACTCAATCTTAATGGAGTTGAGGAAGGCTGAGGAGGGAGACTGGAACATATTTGTGTCTAGGTCCCAGGCAGTGCAGGGAACACAGTGGGTGCCCCCAAGTATTCAACAACAGGCAGCCCTGTTCAGAGTTCAGAGATTAGTCCTCTGGCAAAGCTACCAACCTGGGATGCAACGTAGGTTTCCAGCGACCGCCCCCAAGAACCAGGCAGAAGTCCCGGCCCGTCCTGCCTCCCCACGCTGGGCCTGGTTCTGAAACTGTTTCCCTTGCCAGCCGGGAGCCCGCCTCTCCTGATTTTCCCCATGGCTCCTATGTGCCTGTCAGCTGGAATCACCCTCATGAATGCATTCACCCATTTCCCCCAGAAATCTGCCTTGCAGCCAGCTGCCCCTTCAGTCTTGCAGCCAAACCTCTGCAAAGTCATCCCAGCCAAGGAGAGGCAAAAATCCTGGCCAGGAATCCAGTGGCCAAGAGAAGAGGGGCTTCCCGGGTCTATCCCTCAGCTGGAGTGTCATGCACCTTGCTGGTCCTGGCCTTCAGAGACAAGAGGAGGAGCCTGGTCCGAAAGACTATTCCTGACAGAGGGCTCCAGACTGGGGTCCTGGACCCAAAAGACTGCACAGGGAGACCCCGCCCAGACCCGGAAAGACCTCAAGAGGAAGCTTCAGACCTAAAGATCCTCAGATCCTGAGAGACCCCAAGAGGATTGTCCAGATGCAAAACAAAACTTGATGGTATCTGGGGGGACTTCAGGCCCTAAGACCCACTGTGGGCATCATACACGAAGATCCCACAAACCCAGAGCCAAGTTTGTGGGTGCAGTGCCCCTCCACACTGACCTGGCCCTGCAGGGGCCTTTCCCAGGCTGAGCTGCCGCAGCCGTCTCTGGTGGGCCCGCCCCTCACAGTGCACCTGGGCCTGGGCTGCTGAGTTTAGCTGGATGTTGCAGACGTCACAGAGCGTGTACGATGGTCGTTTTCTCTCCCGCTTGGGCTTAGGTGGTTCTGGGGGCCGAGGAGGGCACTCAGCAGCTCCAGATATGGGGGGCTCCTTCTCAGCGGGAGGGGATGGGCTCAGTGGCCGCTTCATGCCTGAGCAGACAGAGAAGGAGACAAATAAACAAAGGCTGAGTGTTGTGAAGACAAAGAAGGAGCAAGATAGGTTCAAGATCCAGAGATGCCTGGGCCCTTTATCCCCGTTGAAACTCCCCAGCTTTCGGAGAACCCCAACCCAAGGATAGCAAAGGGAGTATATTTCAAACAAAGCAGCATTCATGAAAAGGCAGGACTATCTGGAAGAATGTCAGAAATGTCTACACACTGGGCAGCCAACACCTGAGGACGTGGCCACAGAGCAAAGCTAAGAGAGGGAGGCTTGGGTCTTGAAGAACAGGTGGGCACGGAGGGTTAGGCAGGTGGAGTCACATTCTGGCAAGCCGGCTCCCTGTTCTCATCCCCGAGGCAGGTGCTGACAATCCTGTGACAGGCAGGCATGTAGTGCTTGCTGGAGACGCAGCAGCCATTGGACAGGGTGGTGATTGCAGAAATCTAACCTCCCAGTGTCCATGGCCCGGCCGGGTGACATTCACAAATGGTGACAGTGTGTGAAGCCATCCCCACTCTGTCCCATGGGGCTCCAGATGCTCCTCGCTGTCTTGGCCACTCAGCCTGTGGCAACAGTTGGTATTTGCAGTGGAGACCTGGGCCCTGCAGCCACACACACACACGCCCTGGGCTCCAAAGAGCTTGGGCATCACCCCGCCAGGCCCCTCATTTTCCACAGACCGTCTTTTCTTTCCAACTCACTCCTCTGAAACTTTCCCTCCTGACTCCTGGGCCCCTAACCCGCTGTATTCTGGGGCTGCTCAGTGACCTTTCTCAAACTGAAATGTGTCCATTTTCACTTCCTTCCTGAATCTGTGCACATGCCTCCTGCCTCTGCTTCTGACTGGGGACTTCCTGAGGGCAGGGACTGTATCTCTCTCTCTCAGAGGGGGAGCCCCAAGGCTAAGGTCTGAGTAAGGCATGACTGAGCCCATCTTTTTTGTTATGGGCTGAACTGTGTCCACCAAAAATTCACATGTCAAAGTCCTAATTCCTGGTGCCTCAGAATGTGATTGTTATTTGGACAGAGGGTCTTTAAAGAGGTAATTAAGTTAATATGAGGTCATTAGGGTGGTCCCTAACCCAATATGACTGGTGTCCTTATAAGAAGAGGAAATTTGGACACAGACAGTTACAGAAGGAAGACCTTGTGAAGACATAGGGAGGAGGCAGCCATGTGCCAGCCAAGGAAATAGACCTCAGAAGAAACTAACCCTGCCGACATGACACCTTGATCTCGGATTTTTAGCCTCCAGAATTGTGAGAAAACAAACTTCTGGTGTTTAAGCCACTCAGTCTATGGTAGTTCATTACGGCAGCCCAAGCAAACCAATACATCCCCTAAAGGGCATTTCCAGTGTCCTTAGGCTCATGCTCATTTTGCAGATTAGACCAAGTGAAGTCAAGTGATGCCCTAATATTGGGTTGTCAGAAAAGTCATAACATATTTTGTCTATGTTTTTCAAAGGTCATTTATTTATACAAAGAACAAAGAACAATCAATGATCTACTGCCCATTTTGTTCAATAACCTTTTGCCATCTTTCAGTGAGCTTCATAATTCCTTGTTCATAGAAGGACCTGTCTTTATTTGCAAAAAACTGAACAAGGTGCTGATTTACAGCCTCATTTTTTTTTTTTTAGCTGAGCCATCCTGCCACCTGTTGGCAGCTCAGTGGCTGCTCAGCTCGGGCTGGACTCGAACCGCTGTTGCTCAGAGCTCAAACTCTTGAGTGAGCTCTTAACCAACTGAGCCACTCGGCAGGCCCCCAGCCTCATCTTTTGAACGTTATACCACGCAAGGAGTTTTGAAGAAAGCGAGACAAGTGGAAGTCTGACGGCGCAAAGTCAGGCAAGTATGGTGGGTGTGGCAACACATCCCATCCAAGCTCCAATAATTTTTGACAGGTGATCAAACTTGTGTGTGGTCTCGTGTTGTCGCGATGGAACACAACTCCTTTACAATTAACAAGCTCTGGACGTTTCTGGATGATGGATTCGTTCAAACTGTCCAATTGCCGACAGCACACATTCGAATTGATTGGTTCCTTGGTAGGAGCTCGAAAAACACGACACCTTTAAAATCCCACCACACTGAGAGTATAACTTTCCTCTGATGAATGTCTGCTTTCGAAGTTGTTTGAGGCGAATCATCACGTCGGGACCAAGACTGTTTGCTCACCACATTGTTGTAAACAACCCACTTCTCATCACCAGTTATCAGTCTCTTTAAAAAAGGATTGTTTTCCTCATGTTTAATGAGCATATTTCAGATGTTTATATGCACCGTCAAATGAACTTCTTTGAGTTCATGTGGACCCAAATATCGAGCTTGCTTACATATCCCAGCTTCTTCAGGTGGTTGGGAATGCTTGAATGACGGATGTTCAATGTTTCTGCTATCTCTCGTGTCGTGTAACGTGGATTTGACTCAATCAATGCCTTTATTTTGTAGTCATCAACCTCAGAGGGCCACCCTGACAGAGGAGCGTCGTTGAGATAAAAAATCACCAGCACGGAATTTCGTGAACCATCGTTGGCACTGACGTTCTTGTAGAGCATTGTCACCGTAAACGTTATGCAACTTTTCACAAGCTTGACACGCATTCTTCCCTTTATGGAAGTAAAACAGTAAGATATGGCAAAAATGCACAGTTTGGTCTTCCATCTTCAACTTGTTGTAAAATCTCCAAAACTCAACCAAATCGCTCAATTTTTTTTTTTAGAATGAAGCTAAAACTGTCAGTTGTCAAATGACATAGCAATAACATAGATGCAAATTCCTCTACTACTTCCAAAAACGAACTAGTGCCATCTGTTGCAAACATGCGTCATGACTTTTCCGACAACCCAATATCTCATAAGGCCACACATCCAGGGGTGGAACACATATCTGAACAGAGAAAATGAATTTATCAAATCCACAGCCAAGAACTTACCTACAGTCCCTGGACCCACCCCCTGCTGTCAAGAAGCTGCCTGTCACTTTTGTGGGTAGTCATCCCCCATAACAGGTCTGTCATTACATGTGTGGGGACTGCGTGTGAAGGGAATAGAGAGGCACAGCGATTAAGAGCATGAATTCTGTTGACTCACATCTGGGTTCAAATCTCAGCTCTGCCCTTTACTGGCTGTGTGATCTGAGCCTCAGTCCCTTCATCTTTATGTCTGTAAAATGGGGGTGACATGTAACAGTCCCTAAGTCATAAGCACATTGTGAGGACTAGATGAGCTGATCTATTATATAAATGCTTCTCGGTGTCCTATAAAAGTCAGCTATTATTAATCTGTGGTGTGCCTGTTTTGCAGCTTGTGAGTGGTGTCACCTGGTCTGTCACCCTGCATATCTGTCATGGTGTACCTGGGTCACTGTGAATGTCTCTGTTACCCAATCATTTGCTAAGGTGAATTTGTGTCACTCATTGTGTGCGTGTCACAGTGTAGCTGTATCACGATGTGGGTGTGGCGCCCATATCCTGGAATGAGATTGTCATTGAACACTGAGACTTGCTGTGTGTTACACCCCCCAAAAATAATTATGTTATAATTAGTTAGGATATGTTGAAATCCTAACCCCCAGCATTTCAGAATATGAAATACAACCTTGTTTGTAAATAATGTAATTGCAGATACTATTAGGTTAAGACGAGGCTATACTGGAGTAGGGTGGCCCTAATCCAATATGACTGGTGATCTTATAAAAGGGGGACATTTGGACACAATCATGCACACAGTGAGAACGCCATGTGAAGATGAAGGCAGAGATTGGGGTGAAGCTTCTATAGGCCAAGGAATGCCAAAGATTGACAGGAAACAATCTGAAACTAGGGTTGGCATGGAACAGATTTCCTCACAGCCCTCAGAAGCAACCCTGATGATATCTTACTCATCTTGGACCTTTTTTCTTTTTTTTTTTTTTAGCTGAGCCATCCTGCTACCTGTTGGCAGCTCAGCGGCTGCTCAGCTCGGGCTGGACTCTAACCGCTGTTGCTCAGAGCTCAAACTCTTGAGCGAGCTCTTAACCAACTGAGCCACTCGGCCAGCCCTACTTATCTTGGACTTTTAACCTCCAGAACTATGAGACAATAAATATCTATTGTTTAGACTACCTGGTTTGTAGTACTTTGTTATGGAAGGCTTAGAAAACGAATGCACCATGGGTCTGACCCTGGTGTGCTCAAAGGTGCCTGATGATTTGAGGGCCCCTTCCCTCTGCAGGGTGGTGTGGCTGGGCTGCAGTACCAGAGATGGTGTCCAGGTGGCGCAGAGAGCATCTAGCGGGAAGCTAAGAGGTGGAAAGCAGTACCTCTCCCTGCAGGGCAGACCCCACTCCTCCACACTCCTGGGGCAAGTAGGTTGCCCCTCTGAGCCATGCCAGGCTCCTGGGCCCCATATATGGAGTCCAGGGGACAGCTCGGCCCACAGAGGGCACACTGGAAGGTCACTCCCATCACCTTGTGAGGTCACTCCCATCACCCGCCCAAGGTTGCACTGAGACCCCACAAACATTCTGCACCCTCTCACCTGTAGATGGAGATTATCATAGCTATTCTCCTGCTTTCACAACTCTTCCTCCATCCACCCAGCAGGAAAAAGGGGCAGGAAAAGTACCAGGTGCAAGTGTCAGAGGTGGGGGTCCAACTGGCCGGGGCGTTAGGAGGATGAGGTTTTTCTGGCCATGCCATGGGAGCTGCCTGTCCCGCCAGAAGGAGAAAGGGTTTTGTTTTGTGTTTTTTAATCTCTGGGAAATTTATGACAGGCAGGCCGAGGACATGGCCCAAGAGTGCAGACAAATATCTGCCACATGGCTAATTAAACCTCTGTGATATACAGTCTCTGGGCTCACAGGGCCCTCCTAGATCCCTGGGCTAATAGTGTCCCCCCCGGCCAGGTTGCTGGGCCTGCCACAGCCTGCCTTGCCTGCCCCAGCCCTCCCAGCTGTCCCCTCAGGACTTATACCGCTCCAGCTAAGCTAGGGCTCCCACCCAGAAAATGTGGAGGGGTAGCAGTTTTCAGGGCACACAAATGCCTCTTTAACTCCTGCTGTGAGCATCAGCAGGTCAGCAACCCCTGCACTGGCCCCTTTTCAGAACCACCATGACTCACCCTAGCTGGGCCTACACTTGGACAGGACCCCGGTCCACATGCTTTCATTAACTGAAGAGGAAATTGAGTCCCAGAATAGCAGAGTGAACTTTCTTCAAACTACACGGAAAGACAGTGCAAGAGCTGTTTCTAGAAGCTTCCCTGCCTTCCTCTCTACCACCCAGATGCCCAGGCCACCTCTTTTTTATAATGACAACCACTTTAAGAGAGCTTACTGTGTGCCAGGTACTTTACACATAGGATCTCTCTTAAATTTCACAACAACCCCATGAGGTGGGCACTATTATTAACCTATTACCCCACGTCATAGATTAGAGAACAGGCTCTGAGAGGTTTCACTGGACCCAAACCTACACTTGTCTGACTCTGGAGCCCAAGACTTTAACCACTTCCTGCCCTATCCCACTTCTCCTTAAAGCCTGCCAAGCCCCGGGTTAAACTGCTGGGTACGGAGGGGAGTTAGAGATTCGAAGAAGGGCTCCTGGGAAGGCTTGGGGCTGCCCAGCCCCTACCAGGCTGAGGTGCCAGGCAGGGAGGTGCCACACCCTGGTCAGGAAGAGTGGAGGCAGAGCCAGAAGGCTGGGAGAAAAGGGTGTGAAGAAGGGGGAGAACTAAACTTAACTCAAAAAGACCAGGTAAAAGCACAGCAAAAGAATATGCATGTATTCTGGTGTCTGTGTGTGTGTGTGTGTGTGTGTGTGTGTGTGATTTACACAGGAGTGGGGGGTAAATCTCTCTCTGTTCTCACTTTCCCTGAGAGATGGGGCTGAGGCTGCAGCAGGGAGGGGGGGGGGTTGGATGACAGGAAAGAGCCACCCACTTGATGGCAGGCGCACACGAGTTGGAGAGCTGATGGAGGCCAGGGTTGCTGCCTGCCTGTCCATCTGTGTGTCCTCCAATATGGAGCTGGAGGCGCTAGGGGGTGGAGGGAGCACTCGGGCAGGGCCTCATCTCTACCACTTCTTGCTGAGTGACAACAGGCTTCAAGGCTAGGTTTCGGTGGGACCCTCAGGCACTGGAATTCTCTGCCTGCCTATCCAAAGAAGGTTGGATAGAAAGACGTTTGGAGGCCATAAAATGCAAAGCCAGAGTTGTTTCGGCTGCAGCCTGGGGAAGGGGGTCCTTAGGAAAGAGCTGCTTTTGCCAAAGGGTTAACAGGCGAGGAAGGTTCTCTGCCTGTCCCCAAACCTTTGGACAGGCATGAAGGGTTCCCTCACCAAACCTTTAATGAGCACAATTACACACTGGAATTTCCCCCCCACGGTCTGCCAACATTTACCCTCCTGCCTCCCCGAGCCAGGTCCTAGATCCTGCCTCTGAGACGGGAGCCTGGCTGGCTGGCCAACCTTGGGCCAGTC